AAACCCAAGATCTTATCATCACTTTGTAGTACTTACCTGAAGCCAGCCAGAAGCAACTGAAGAACTTAAGTCCAGGACTGAATACAGTTGGCATTATTCTTACTTATTATTCCTATGGGGTAAAAGAAGGGGTTAGTGACACCAGTAACACTGGGCACTAGAAGGTGAAGATCCTCAGATAGGACCATTAAAAGGCATTGACTAGACAGAGGTAGTGAAGAGAGGGAGAAAAACCCCAAAGGTTAAATTTATTTAAGCAATGATTCAACAGACATGCTTACAGTGCACGGAATATAAAGGGAAGTTGCAAAACAGAAAGAGACTAAGAAGTCTGTGGAGTGAGGTATGAACTTAAAGAGACAAAGAAGAGTTGAAGCTGCAATGGCTAATTATTCACAGGCTAACTGTAGAGCCAGCAGAAGAGAGAATTGGAGATTCACATAAATTCATGACACAAATGGTTGGACCAAGCAGGAGAGACCTTGAGAATGTCATGTATTAAAATAGAAATAAATTAGGACTAGAAAAAAAAAAGGAGAGGGTATCTTGCCCTAAATGGAATTAAAAGAATGAAAAGAGAATAAATAGTGAAGGAATAATTGCCCAAAGGCTGTACTTGGTGTGGTCCAACTAAGCAGTGGATAAGGAATGGCCAGATATCACAGGTTCAGCATGGGTACGAGCAATATCCAGAACTATTCTGACATGTAACAGAGCTTTTGGGGTGAAACTGAGCTATCCAACTACTCAACAGTGGTTGTATACCTCCACCATTTCATGGAATATTCACAAACAGAAATGGGGGATAACCTTGGGAGGGACTGAATAATCTCCAGTTTTTCTATATCACTTCAAATATCTGGAAAGTTTCAAATAGAAACTGACAGTTTCATTGCTGTGATCTTCCCCATAGCTCAAAGTATGGATGGTCAGCAAATCTGAACTGTTTAAAATTTTGAGAATATCAAGTGTTTCAAGGCAACTATTTTCACTGTCTGTTCTGAAGCATAAGGAGTTGATTAATTTATTTAAAACTGACTGTAAGTGAAATACAAAAAGAGTTTGTGCAGATCTCTCAGTAGTTAGGAAAGCATAGCAGTCTAGGTAGATGAACATGTTATGCAATGTAAAGACATTCTGCATCCATGGCACACATGAAAGCCTTGTAATACAGGTTTTCTAAAAGAAGTCAAGTATACTTCCTATTAGCTAAGAGGAAAAGGGCCTTAAACAAGCATGTTCAAAGTGCTCAGTTTAACAATTGTGATTTGCATCTAGGAATACTGCATAAGTACTTGTTGGACAAGAATCAGAAGAACTTTGAGAGTGTGTGCAAAGCATTGAAAAAACCAAGATTACACATTTGGTATTGCCACAGCGTTCCTTGAGGCAAGCATGCAGTAAGCCTCCCACAGACTTGAACCAAAGCTCTCACAATTAGTAGTAAAGCTCCCATAGATCTGAACCCAGATTGTAGATTAGTAGGTGGAGAAGGTGTAAATTTCAGTTTGAAAAGAGAATTCAAGAAGCATGTCACTGAAATACAGGATTATGTGACAGGTAAACACAGGTTGTGCATATACGCATGAATCAATGTCTGTAAACGTTCGAGCTTTCTAAAACTTTGGGAGCAGAGGGCTAAAACCTCTTGAGAAGTCAGTGAAGTCTTGGCTTTTAAATTAGCAGCAGACTTTTTATCCTCTATTAGGAAGATTACCAGCTCAGGTTTTACTCATGATCATATGACTTCAACATAGACTGACTACAAGTGTTTGGTACTCTGGAATTAAAATATAAATGAAAATAACCTTAGGCAGTAACTTGATTTCCTTCATATGCTACTTAGAGGATGACAAAGAGCTATAAAATGATCAGGGATAGCAGGAAAGTTTTCTTTCAGTCTCCATCACTTTTCTTTTGCTACAGGTAACTCCTGGCCCCATCACACCATGTCTCCTGCAGAGAGAAAAATCCCCTCTGTTGCCACTGCATAAGGCAGAATTCAGAGTGGCTTGTTGTGGACTTTTCTGTCAATACATGTCCAAGGCAAATGTTTACAGGACAAACAGTTTTCTGCAATGGATGGATTCATTTGATAATAGGTTTGAAACTCCTTTCTCAACTTGGCCCTAAACCACATAACTGACTGCGAATGGCAATGGAAGCACAGGTTGGCCATATTCTGTATTCCCACCACTTACACATAAAACCCTACTGTAGCAGTCCTGCAGTCTCTGCACAGACAGTAAGCTCCCCTCTCACTGAAGGTGCCACTGATTGGCCTTGTGTCCCCCATGCTCATCACCTAAGCCTACCTTTTAGGTGCTCTCACACCACTGAGAGGGGTCTAGTCTGCCTCTGGAAGCACAGGGAGCAAGAAAAGGACTTGGGATCATGACACTGACTTGGGGAATAATGAAAACAAAACTGTTAAAACTAAATACATTTTTAACTATCATTGGACATCTGTGTATTTGTAAATAAAACAGAGGAGCTACTGATTTGTTACCACATGCAGTATTTAACTATTGCTATGACACTAAGGTATGCCAAGGTTCACCTGAACTAACTGGTACTTGTCTAAAGGGTTCCTGGGAATTGGGCATGGGTCCATTTGAAGCAGCAGTATGGCTAAAATTACTTTCTGAAGCCAACACTTATACATATGTTTTGGGAATAGTGTGTACCTAAATAATTTTCAATTCACAGCAGGGAAGCAGTGACTTGTTTCAAAGGAAAAGTCAGCCTCCACATGGTGGAGGATGTATAGATGTAGACATTGAGGCAACAAAACACAGGTATTGTAAAGTGTTAAAGGATTCAGTTCTTGACTTCAGGCAAGCACTACCAAATCAGTATGAAGAGGCTTTTAGCTACAAGGAGTGAGTGGATCACCCAGACTGCAGGCAGGGATCCCTGCCAGGAGGTGCTCTTTGCTCTTCCAGTCATGACATTCTGAAGATGCTGAGAAACTATTCCAAAACAGTCTAGACAGGAAATTTAGCTTTGGACAGCTGTAGCACCCAGACAGAATGTCTGTAAAAGGGAGAACTGGTGATATAATGTGGAAGATGAGCCTCACTGCAGGAAGGATTACTTTGAAATACCTGAAGTGATCATAATGAAACACCTATGAAAAAGCTGTTACTAAGTATGGTTGTAGTATCAGTAGAAGATTCAGAAAGTAACACTGAACTATTTCAACACAACTATGGATGCCAGTACCTGAAAGATGTGGTATTGCTTTGAGAAGGCAAGAAAGGCAGCAAAGACAAAGAAAATCCACAAGAAACACAATAGCCAAAGGCTTTTGATATTATGGTCACAGTTCTTTATAGGAAAGTAAAAATCTCCTTCCTTGACAACTTAAAGGAATTATTCAAAGGCAGCTCTGGCAAAGAATAAAACTGGGGATAGCTAAAACACATGCCCTTGGTACATATGTCCCATCATATTGCTTGAGAGAGCAACTTCTTCCAGCTTCTTCCCAGATTCTGCTTGATTGGTTTTATCATCCTTTTCAGGTTTCCCAGGACAACTCTGGCAGCTGCTAGAAAATAGGGGTTGATAAATGAATATCCACTATCAGCTAGGAAGTAGTTTTCAAGTGAGAACTTCTCCAGATTTTTTATTTAACATCTCTCAGGCCCTGTGGTCTTTTTTGCCCTTCAGTGTTAGTAAATGGCTTTTACCATATCCCAAGTCTTTGCAACAAATTCACTCTCCGTTTTGTGCAAAAATGAATCCTCCCATCCACAAGACCAGTTTGCCAGAGCTTGTCATTAGGATTTCTGTCACTCGATCATGCCTGCATACGAAATCAGTATTTTGGCTGAAGGGTCTTGCCCAGCATTTATGCTGAGCCTGGTCCCCTGAGGTTAGGGGCAGGGAAGTGACAGATGTGCTCTGCCTGTGACACCTCAGTGGCACACAGGCAGTGCAGCCCCGAGCCCTGCTGGCCCTCTGGGCTGTCTGCAGACCAGCTCGGAGCCAAGCTGCCTCACACCCAGCACATTAAAAGAAGGCACCAGAGGAAGGTTTTGCCCCCAGACTTTCCCAACAAGCAGGTGTTGCTGGCTGCCTGCATGAAAACTACTGAGCTGGCATAGGAACAGATCTCACTTTGCACAGAACTCACGGGTCTGCCGCAGACCCTGGCATCACATTAGCAATTAAAAGCAAATGCACAAAAGTCCTGCTGGCCAGTTATCCTGCTGGGGTGTCAGGACCAGTTTTCCACAGAGAGTGGCAGCTCTTCCCTCTCCCTGTCTGGAAACCAAGAACCTGTCAGACTGCCGATGCAGATTTTCCAGCTCTGTCTCTCACCGTAGGTAGACTCTGGTTAGGATTTCAGCTGTTCTAGGCCAGTCTTCCATGTGACAGAAGTTGTGGTTTGATTTTGTCTTTTTTGGTCGCGCTTTTTGAGGAATCACCTGATTTGTTGTGGGACTGAGCATTCATTCCCCTGGCGAAATTCAGAGTCCCCGCCAGTCACCCCTGTTGAAGACAGAGCACACCGCGGGTGCGGGGCTGTCACACGGCCCAGGAAGCCTCCCGGGGCGGTTTCAGTGACCGCGGGAGATTCAGCCTGAGTCACGGGGATGACAACATCAGCTGTCACAAATATGAAGAGAATCATGCAGCAGAACACCATTGACACGCATTTCATAACTTGCTGTCTTTAATGAAACTGGATAATTATAGCGAAACGTACTGCCTATGCCACCGCTGACATTTCTTTTTCACATCGGTCTGGCTGAGCAGGCGTCTATCGAGTGCCACCGCCGCAGTGGTGGCGGTGCCCGGCGCTGCCCTCAGCCACAGAACGGCACCATTTCAACAAGGCTCCCCCTGCCCAGTGGTACAGCCGCGCCTCGCTCCCCCCATCCCACGGCGCCCGGTGGTTGCTGCTGACGGCGGCGCGTGCGCAGAGGGCGCCCGGCGGCTGCGGGCGGCGCTGAGGGGCCGGCGGCTGGAGCCGGGCCGGGGCCTCCGCAGGCGGTCGGACCGGACCGGACCGGACCGGACCGGGCCGGGCCGGGCGCTCTCCGGGCCCGTGCCAGGGCAGTCCCGGAGCCGGCAAGGGCCGTCCCGTCATTGCGGGCAGCGCTGTGGGTGAGGAGCGGGGTTTGCGCGTCGGGGCCGGTCCCCAGGTGTGCGTGAGGGGCTCGGCGGCGCCGGGGGCTCGGGAGGGTTACGAGGGGCGTCGGTGCCGTGTCTGTGCGGGGGCGGAGGAGCTGTCACAGCTGTCAGAGCCAGGGCTTGCGGTGTGGGTCCTCTGTTCAGGGCCTGGTCGTGCCGTGGGGTTGGTGTGTTTTGCCCTGGCTGCGGGCACTTGGAGTCAGTCTCGCCCGCTGTGGTGCCGTGGGGTGGCGAGGGGCCTTCGGGGCTCCGGGCCCGTGCTCCTCCTTGTAGCGGGGCACCTGCGAGCGAAGGGCAGGGCGAGTCGGAGCAGCGCGGGGAGCGCTGGTGGCGTTTGGAGCACGGCGGGAGCCTCTGCCGGGCGCTGTGCCCTCGGTGGTGTCTGTGGCCGCTTGCGTTCACCAGCCTGCCGAACGCACAGGGCTGTTCAGCGCTCACAGGCTGCGGCGGGTGTGGTGGTCGTATCTCCTGTATGGAGTTTAAATATTTCAGTATTATCTGGCTTTTCCTTCCCCACAAGCCTTTGTTTTTGAACTGCGGTGTGTTCAGGAAGCTTCAGACAACTTGAGGCACCTAATGCTGGGCTCTTCAGCTAATTACACTGATGTTGCTAATATTATGTAATAATGTTGCTTGTCTGCATTCCATACTCTTTTTCTATTTTTGAATACAGTTGTTGTTTTTTGTTTTTTTGAAAGAGGCTTAATTGCAGAGTCTTGTTTTGAGCCATGATCATTACAGCCCCTTTTTGGTGTAAGTGGTCCCCGTTACTGCATTAGTTTTCTGTAGTTTTATGTCTTGGATCTGTATTTGAGATTCTGAATTACGCCCAAAGCTGTAGCAAATGCTGTAAAATCACTGTGGGAAAGGCAGGGGAGTAGGACAATAACTGTGCAATGCTGTTGAAATAAAAGTTTCATAAGTAACAAAACAGGGTTTGCTTATTGTATTTTCTCTTCCTCTTTCTCACCTTCCTACTTGACCCTCTTCTGCTTTTGCTTCAGTGCATTACTTTGAACTAGTAGGGACTTCATGGGCTAGTTGTAAATCTTGTTGCTTATGGTCTTTTTGTCTGTCTGCCTGTCTTTGGGATGACTGTGCCTAATGGCAGCTGGACCAAAGTCATAACTGCAGTGGATGTGAGCCCGCTATGGTTTTGAGTCTATATATATTTATGTACTTTAAAATTCACTAAATTTTTTTATCCTTGTTCCAGATGGAAGATTTCATGCCTACTGGTTTGCATAATAGCAGAGGCTAAATAGGCATGAAGGAGACTATAGTGGGGATGAGAAGTGTCAAAAGAGAAGAAATGAATCCTACAAATGATGATCGAGTGTTTGGGACCATTTTTGACTGGGACTATCTCTTATGGGAAATTCGTTTGACGTTTTTAGCTGCTGGTTTTTTAATCTACTTGGGAGTATTTCTTCTGTCTCACTGGTTGTCTTCTTGGAGAAGTACCACTTACCGTGCCTTGTATGCAAAGGAGAAGGTGTTTTGGAATATGGCAGTCACACGTGGTGTCTTTGGACTTCAGAGTTGTGTTGCTGGGCTATGGGCTTTGCTCATAGATCCTGTTTTTCATGCTGACAAAGTCTATTCACAGCAAAAGTGGAGTTGGTTTAACTGCTTAATAGCAGCTGGATTTTTCTTGCTTGAAAATGTAGCAGTTCATGTGTCCAACATTATTTTTAGAACATTTGATGTCTTCTTAGTGGTTCATCATTTGCTTGCTTTTGGTGGCTTGGCTGGTTTAGTAATTAATGTGAAATCTGGACATTATCTGCCTTTGATGGGAATGTTGCTGGAGATGAGTACTCCCTCAACATGCATTTCCTGGATGCTTCTGAAGGTAAGAAAGTGATAATTTTCAGATGACGTTTGTAATGGGTTTCATGCATTTCACTTGTCCATAGATAATCTATCTGTGTGGTTTGTTTGGGTAGTTTTTCATTAAAACTGCATTTATCCAACTGATACCTGTGTTACTGTCATGCCTGCTTTTGTCATGATGGCACTTGTGCACCTCCACGTCGGTTTGTGTGCTGCTGTGTGCATGTGCACAGTGGGATGGTATAGATCCATACCAAGTTTAAGATTCCTTGTATATATGTGGAGTAACACTACACTATGAGGAAAAAATGCCTGAGAGTGTGTGTATATAACAGCTGGGTACTTGTATTAGTTCTATAGATTCCTCAGTTCCTTATCTCAAATAACAGTTTCACTTCTGCATACTTTGTGTTCTTATTTTTCTAGGCTGGCCGTGCTAACACCTTTTTCTGGAAGGCAAACCAGTGGGTGATGATCCATCTGTTTCACTGCCGCATGATTCTCACCTACCACATGTGGTGGGTGTGTCTTTTCAATTGGAATTCTATTGTAGAAAATCTGGGACTTCTTCACTTTATTGTTTTATTCTCGGGATTATTTGCTGTCACGCTAATACTTAACCCATACTGGACATACAAAAAAACTCAGCAGCTCCTCAGCCCAACTGACTGGAACTTTGAAAATAAAGCAGTGGAAAATGGAAGATTGAATGGCGAAACACATCAAAAGAAGAGGATATAGCACTGAAACAACAATTTCCCAGCAGGGTAACAGAAGAATACAATGCAAAGTCTTTCTTTGCACATGAACTAGAAGATTTTGCAAGAAGCTCATTTATGCAGTGACTCCTTGCCGGTAGCACTCTGTGTGCATCACAAGTGTTGAAAAGCATTGTTTGTGTTTATTATGTGTATACATATAAGAACTTCAACTCTCATTATGAATTACACCAACAATTTGTCAGGCTGGACAGTATTTCATAATTTAGTAGTGATGTGCTCTCTAATGGCATGGTTTTTTCCCTACTGCTTCAAAGTGGCTTTACAGTAAGTCATCTATTAAGCTCAGCTTGAATCAAGTTTAGCTCAATCCTATTTAACATATTGTAGAGATACTGGAAATTATGTTAAATTGTTTATTAAGATCAATTATGATCCAGGTTAGGTATGCATGGGTACCTAATTCCTGTGTGCCAGTGAATCATTCCATGGCAGAACTGGTCAGTGGTAGAATGCAGTCATGGCCTGGGTTTGGGTTTGTTGTTGGTCAGTTTGTGGATTTGGGATTTTTTGGGTATTGTTTTTTGTTCTTTTTTTGCTTTTTAGTGCACTTAAGAGACAAGGAAAATAATTGAGTCTTTGCTGTCAAAGTTGTAGTTTTCAGGTTGCCCTCAGTATGGGAGGAGTTTATGTCCACCAAAACCATGGGTGTGGAGATCCATGCATTTGCCATATGAGTGGTTTGGTAGGTAATCCAAAGTCCCTTCTGAACTTTAAATCAATGAAATACAAGTGGCAACACCAGAAGGTGACTCTGTGTCCTTGGAAAAAATGCTGCTTGATTGTAAAATTACTTAGTTTGTATGTCCCATGTGAGGGATCATGCAATTAGTTCCATTAGTACTTCTGTTATGGTTCCTTTTATATTTGGGAATGCACTTAGTTTTAGATGTTTTCAGAATCTGAGGTGACTCCTCTGTGGAGGAAAACACATATTCCCTCCTGTAGGAGTTTGGTTGTTTTAATATTTTTATTTAACTTTAAAGAACATACAAAGCAACACTAACAATCCTTTGCACTTTATCTGCCACATCACAAAAATCTTTTCCTTTACCTGAGAAACTGGGTTGCTCTTTAGATAGGGATTAATGGTGATGGATGTTCTCCCACTTAAAATATTGGTTTGATGGTTCCTGGGTGAAATGTTGGGAAGCGGGTGGAGGGATGAAGATCACGATAGAAGAGAGTGACGCCTAGTGGCAGGAGAATGGCAGGGGTATTAGTTTTGGTGCACGAAATAAATGAGATTTTAAAAAGTGGTTAATTGGAACTCTGTGATGTGACTGCTACACAGATTTATTTCCCAAAGCACTAAGACTAGGCAGGCCCAAGCTGTGAAGAATTTTACATCAAGCCATGAATTAAGAGACTTTGTAAACTGGAACTGATCTGTGGTTTTTGTATTAAATGTGTGAGGGAAGTACTTTTTGGTGTAAACAGCCCCATTTTATTAGTTTTTGGAGGGAATGCTTTTGATTTGTTCTGAGTGAAGGGAGTGGTTGGGTTGCTGTGTTCACTAGTTCACTCTATGTGAGCACAGAGTTGGATTGCTGTTCTATGACAGGGAGGAAACTTCTTACTTTAGGTCACAAATACATAGGCAGATCTTGTTGATAATGATGAAGTGGTGAACATCTGAAATTGCCCATTCAAAACCAGGCTGTGAGAGTCACAGTCATTTTACCCAGCAACCCTGTCTGTTACTGTGCTGATATTTAATAGATAAAAATATAAATTTGGAGCTATCTTCTTATTTTTAAGCTGGGCAGAATGAAGTTGCAGTGTTGCCTGCCTGGGCACCATCCTATGGTAAAAAGGGTTCTCAAAAGTTTGAAATGGTGTACCTGTCTTGAGGAGTTGTATGTGGGAAAGTAATGTTAAAAGTACTTTGGAAGAAACCAGAGGGATGAATTCCTTGGCTATGGAACCAAAAAAATACGATCTGCATGCATATCTTGTAGAATCCAAACCTCACTTACAGGAGATCCAGGGAGAAAGGCAGAGAATGAGTCATCAGGTATCAGAATGATGGTATACTCTATGAAGCCTAAAACTTGAAGGTTTGGATTTGATAAAACAAGGTAATAATTGTTAAAATCCCAGCTACAGACTTCTGCAGAATCCTAATAGCAAATGGAAGTATCAGAAGAACTTTGGGATGAGTGTGTAATTCCTATAGTGGCTGGCTAAAGAATGTGAAGTTCCTATGTGCTAAAATAAAAGAATATGGAGGGTGGGGGTTAGTCATGAATTGAGACTGAAAAAAGACAGGTGGAAGTTTATGTCATAGCACCTGATGTCTCAACTCTAATATTTTATGTTATTGTGTATAACTGTATTAATTGAATTTTAAATCTTTCATTAAAATTATGTTTTTATCATCATAATGCATTTTTTTCAGTTTACATCCTAGTGTGAGTTTTTCACAAAAAGACTGTGAGGGTTTGCATGTTTTAACTATATAATGAATAATACTTTAGAGCCCCTGTTAACCTAAACACTGGTAGACCTGCTAGAACAAGAAAGCTATGCAATAAAGCATAACACTACTTATTTTGTTTCTGTTGGTTTAAGAGTACTTTACAGTCCAGCTAGAAATACAAAACAAAAAAATACAGACAACCTTTCTTCTTCATCCTTTTCGTGGCCTAGTGTTGGAGTTACTAGTTCTGTTACACAGAGCCTCTTTTTTCATACTTGAGTGTAAGAGGACCTTTTATAAGGGCTTGTAGTGATAGGACAAGGGTAATGACTTTAAATTAAAAGAGGGGAGAGTTAGATTATATTAGGAAGAAATTGTTCCCCATGAGGGTGGTGAGGCACTGGAACAGGTTGCCCAGAGAAGCTGTGGATGCCCCATCCCTGGAAGTGTTCAGGGCAAGGCTGAATGGGGCTTTGAACAACCTGGTGTAGTGGAAGGTGTCCCTGCCTACAGCAGGAGGGTTGAAACTAAATAATCTGTAAGGTCTCTTCCAATCCCAGGCTTCTGGGATTCTTCAGTGTCTGTTGACTTCTCCCTTTAGGAGGATTTTCTAGTTTATTATTGTGGAAGTCACTGAAACAAGTCTGAAACAGTGCTTGAACTAGGTACTTATAACTAAGTGATCCTTTTCAGCCTAAAGGTAGAGTAGCCATATGTGGCTGTAAATCTTGTTGAAGTGAAATTAATCCCAGTCCTGTTGGGCCTTCTTACACAGCTTCATCCACAATTTAGAAAAATTCAGTCAGCTTCCGTAGTGGTTGGATTGGGTCACAGAGTATGCTGCTGTGGATTTGGAAAACTTGCATAACGTGATTTTAGGTGAATTATTTGTTTGCCAAGGTGACTGCTAGGGACTTGGCTCTGCTTTCTTGTTGAACAAGCTTATTTGAGGAGTGGTGTTTGTGCCATCTTTCTGAAGATTTTTTAAAAAAAAAAAAAAAAAACTAAACAACAAGAATAAACCAGCAAATTGTGGTGGGGATAATGGTGTTCAGTTTGCTTTGGTTTTTTTGTTTTTTGTTTAATTTCTTTGGCTTTTTTGTTTTTTTAAAGAAAGGTGTCTGATCTGAGACGTTCTTGTCCAGTCATCTGGTTCTTACAGTCTTCATACAACAATCCTAAATCACAGTTTGTGTTTTTCCTCCATTTCTAGCCTATGTTTTTTTTTTCCAAAACTTGTCATTGTTTTCCCCCCTGAACCCACCATTTTTTTATTGTTATTCTTACTTGCAGTATGGGTCATGATATTGGAGTAACATTACCACTGCGATATTTTTGTCTAGTAGTTTTCAATACATGCTCTCAGGCCCATATTCCACTAATTATCCATGTCCAAATCAGTCAGAGTGTTTTTGTGTTTTCCTGATAACATGGATTAAATATTGATGTGACATGCAGTTATAAGAAACCTTCTTTAACCTCAGGGAGACTCCCCCTTTAAGTAAATTTAAAAGTGTTAAGCAAATTTAAGTCTGTTCTTGTACAATATAACATAATAATATAATAATAATTTTTTGTTGAAAAGCACCTTTACACTGTACATAAATAAAAGTATTTTATTGAATAGCTGTCTATCGTGATTTTAATTTCCTGATTAAAATAATGCCTGTTATTTTTTACTTGCTATTTGTAGCTTAAACAGTTTTTGTAGTGCATGCACTAAAATTATTTATTTTGAAATGTTAAATGTGATAAAGATAATGTCATATTCATGGAAATAGTTTTAAAAATCTTGTAAACCAATGTCCCTTCACCAGTGTTTCGTGTGTTATTCCCACGAGCATGTTTAGAACACTAGGAGCTGTGCTATATGTAAGTGTGTATTAAAAACAGTTAAAAAAACATCTCTTGGGGATGACCCTTCTGTTGGGTGTTTGAAGTGTGTGGTCCATTTTTACATTAGGCTCTGACCATGAAGACACTTCATTTGGTACCACATGATACTTCAAAGTTTAGTATAAGCTACCTCAAATAAACAACAAAACATGAACATAAAGACCAAAAATTTGCCCCATTGCAAAATAGTAAAATACAGTTCTGAGCATTTCTTTCAGGATGTTTTTCAGGAAATTATTCCTGATGCTTTTTAGATTAGTGAGTCAAAGGAACCCAGCATCATTACTGGTATTTTAATTATTCTTATAAGAATGCACAGTGCAAGCAACCGATTGTCTGCCTCTGCAGTGAAGTCCCTGAGATTAATTGAAGCAGAATCACGACACTGATGTGTACAGCTCCACAAACTGTGAGATGTGTGTGGGTACAGACTGGGATAAGAAGAACAATATACTCATTTTACTCATACTGTTTTGTATGAGTAAAATCCTCCCTTTTTTTTTCTTTTTTTTTTCTTTTGGTGAATGATCTGTAAAATTAATTTAAATATTATTGTTTTGCTATTCAGGTGTTCCAGTTAATAGGTAAGTACATTTTACTTGTTAGTGTTAAACATATTCTCAGAAAAATATTGGAGCAAACTTGGGTTGACAATGTTACACAGCAATGACAGTCTTTTGGTCTTGTGTCATTGCACTGTTACTTAAATTAGAACAAAAAATGCAAGCAGTGGCCATTAATGAAACTATGCCTGTTGTAGTTGTCAGCCCCCAGATGGGTTTCCAGTGTTGGAGGAGACATTTCATGCACTGGACCTGATTGACTAATTAGCATGTTCTGCTAGTGGTGGTGCCACAGAGCAGGAACAAGTATTTTGCAGCACATTGTGCCTTCTGCTTTTCCCGAAGTTGCACGCTGGTGAGTGGGGTGGAAAGATGATGATACAGCAAACCTGCAAGGCCATACCAGACCTTGTTCATAGTTCAAGGTGGCAGACAGGCCAAGCTTGGAAGGACTGGGGCCTGCTCACCTGTCCACAAATAAGAAAGGAAAGAAACTGGCTGCTATTGTGTGTATGTATTCTGAGAGCCACCTTCTGAGTCCTTAGGAATATGATCTGAGCAGAGAGAGTGGAAATTTAATACTGGCTTTGTCAGATGCATTATGTTTGAAATTTTTATTTCCTCATATGATTGTAGCTGCCTCTGCTCCTTTGACTGCTTGGCTCACATTAGTGTGCTGTATAAGCTGACAGTATTTTCACCACTCTGTCCTCAGACACTGTAAAGAATTATGAAGTTTTAGTATTGATAATTGATTCTGGCAGCTCCAGGTATTTGCTTGGATTTATATATTGCTGTATAGATCTGCAACTGCTTTCTCTTGTCTTGCTGCTTCTACTGCTAAAAGCAGTTTACCAGGTGAACACTGCATTTTGTTACCAAAGTTGTGCTCATTCAAGTTTAAGCATGGGGCTTGCAACAAGAAAGGGACAAAATATAGCTGAGAAAAGACTAATTTTGTAGAAGGTAGAGAGTTGAATTTCCTATGTTTCTGAACCTTCCAGTTCTGCTGTCAGGATCTTTTAAGTGTAAATCAAGGTATCAAATCTACGATATCTTGAAAAACAAAGTCATGCAGACAAACTACAGAAGTCTATAGAGTACTTTTGCATGGAGGTTTGCATAGAGTAGGCATAGAGCATCCAACAAGAGCTTGTTCATCTTGTTTTGTGGGTTGTATTTACAGGAAGAAAGTGTATCCTGGAAAGCAGCAGCAGCCTTCCTAAGGACTCAGTAAGAATTAAATCAGAAAAAAGCTAGGAGGATTTTGGGTGAGGTAGATGGAACTGATTGTTACATTTTATACTGCTGGCCAGGTTGTGGTTACATATTGAATATGTAATTTTTCTGATGCTTTAACTCTTTTTTTCTCTCAGCATCATATTGAATATTATCGTGACACTAGTTGAGGCTAAGTTTAAAAACTTCTTAGGGCATCAAAATTGCTAAGCAATATATTGCCCTAGGCTGAAAGAGCCTAAAGTCTGTTCTAATTTAAAGTAATTTATTCTTGTATCATCATTGCCTTTTTATCTTACATAATTATTTTTTACCACTGGAGACTCTTTTGAATATTCATAAGTACAAATCAATCTGCTCTTTTGTTTTCCCAGCAATCCTAATACTCTGCTTGTCACTTTTCCCACTTGAATTCCTTTTTATTACATGTTGGCAGTGTACAGTTGTACATAGTATTTGATATAAAGTCTTCTCAGCGTCTTGTATTACACTAGTAGCTCCTTTCCTTCCCTGGGAACAGTTCTGCTTCGGCCAAAAGCTGCATTTGTCTTTCAGGGTTGCATGGCCTCAGCACTTTGTGGTGCTCCTGAGAGGAAATTCACTTAAGTTTTTCCCTTTATCAGCTTCAGGATAAAGAAGAGGCATCGGAGAACAGTGAAAATAACTGAAAGTAGGAATGTTGTGTTATAGAAACAACTTGTGCATTGACTGTCTGGGGTGCGAGTGCCCAGGCCCGGCAGCAGCAGTGGGGGCTCTGTGAGGGGAGGGGCTCTGAGGAGCCCGGGCTGCCCCAGCCGGACACAGCCAGTTCCAGCCGGTTCCAGCCGGACACAGTCAGACACAGCCGGTTCCAGATGGACACAGCCGGTTCCTTATGACTGTCTGGGTTTGAGTGCCCAGGCCTGGCAGCAGCAGTGGGAGCTCTGTGAGGGGAGCCTGGGCTGCCCCAGCCGGACACAGCCGGTTCCAGCCGGACACAGTCAGACACAGCCAGTTCCAGATGGACACAGCCAGTTCCAGATGGACACAGCCGGTTCCAGCCATATCCAACCGCCCACCGCAGGATGCAGCTGAGCCACGGTGGGGAAACAAAGGTAAACCAGGGCAAAAAATGCTGCACAGGAGAGAGCAGAACAAAGTGAAAGAAATATCTCTGCAAGCATCAAACTCAGTGAAGAAGGACGGGGAGAAGCTGCTCCAGGGCACCAGAGCAGATTCACCTGCAGCCCATGGAGGAGGCCCTGAAGGAGCAGGTTTATCCTGAAGAACTGCAGCCTGTGGGAACACCCACACTAAAGCAGAGGAGAAATGAGAGGAGGAAGAATCACTGGGAGGAGCTGTTATTGACTGACTACAACCCTGGTTCCCATCCCGCTGTGCCCCTCAGGGTGGGGGAGGCCAAGGAGATGGGAATGCAGTGATGTTGAGCCTGATGCAAAGGAAGAACAGAGAGGGGAGGGTCTTTTTAGTTTTGTCTCTGTTACCATCTCATTTTTAATTTTAATTGACAAAAAATAAAATTTCCCCAAGTTGAGTCTGTTTGGCCCATGACAGTAGTTACTAAGGGATTTTCTTGTCTTCATTTTGACCTACAAGGTTTCCATATTATTTTCTCCCTCAGTCCTGCTGACAAGGGGGAATGAGAGAGCAACTGGATGAGGGTCGGGTTGCTGGCCAAGGTCAACTCATCACAAGAAATTATAGCATTAGCTGTACTATCACTTTTGTACTACCCATGACAACAAGGAGGTGATGTAACACAATGCCTCTACTCCTGAGAAATATTAAAATATAGGAAAATTTATACCTAGTCTGTCTGAATTGGCAGTCTGATAATTTGACTTGCAAATACTCCTCATAAAAAAAGGAAAACAATGAAATGAAATGCATTAATGAAAGATGTTCTAGTGCTGGTAAAAGATCACAATATTATAAAATTAAATTGTTAGGTTAACTTGTACTGGTGTGCTCAGAATTGAGGATCTGTCTCCCAGTAGTGGTGCTGGTGCTCCAGGAAGATGTGGAAGATGAGTCAGCAGTAGGCATTGTAGCAGAATATGAAAAAACAATGTTTTTATAAACCCAAAAGTTATTTTTGATGTAGTAAAAGTCTGAATTTAGGAAAACTGTGGTTTGCTTTTATTTTTTAAAATAGATATTATATTGTATGTATTATATATATAAATTTTAAAAAATACTGTCACTCAGTCTGGTTTGGTAAGAAAAGTAGAGGGGACCTTTAACTTTGCAAGGCTCCAGTGTGTGTTCTGCAGATGCTTAAGTTAAGCAAGCTCATTGGATGTCCTGGTTTGGAGTGGTTTCTGAGAGATTACAGTAAGCAGATGACACACTGTCTTCATGGGGGACACAATTAGGAAATTGTGTCCACAGAATTTCCAGTGGATGAATACTCCCTAGGAAAAAGTGCTGGCTACATCAGCTATTAAATGGAAGAATCTGAGTAAACTGGGCTTTCCCAGGGAACTGGATAAGTTTTAGTTGTTTTGTTTATTTCATGCAGTATTTTGGAAAGCAAGCTATTGGAATGATGTCTTTAGGTGTCATAAATTTAGGTGTACATTCAACCATGCCAATTTCCAAGGAGTGAGAAAAAAGGCATCCCACCTTCATGGCACTGTGTCACAGGGAGTCAGGACACTGGCCAGGGCTGATGGTGTCCCTAAGATCCCGGTACATGAGCTGGAGTAGGTGCATGGTGTAGATGTACGGTGAAGATGTGTGGGGTAGATGACTTCTGTGCAGTGCCTTGGAGGCAAAGTACCTTGCTGAAGCCTCAGTAATCAGAAATAAGAGCAAGTACATTTTGGTGAGGTCTCATGCAAATATCACCAGTAAAACCAATCTAAACATCAACTTCTTAGAATCTGGTTATAAAAACCATCATGTTAACAGTGGAGTCAGCCATTATCTGTACTCTAATTATTGACAACTAATTATGGGTGGATAAATAATGAATTTATGATTGCAATGTGCTAATTATTACTGCTAATAGACTGTTGCCTTATAAAACAGTAGGAAAGTGCAAGTTATTTTGAAAGTTAGTTTTTCTTTTTTATAAGTTGATCTGCTATTGTTGGATTTATCCAACAAGGTTTCCACAGCAATCTTTTATTGGAATATATGTATGGTCACCAGAATCAGAAGGAGTAGTCAAAGATCAAAAGGGTTCACAAAAAGTCTTAAAGAGAGATTTCAATTTTGTCTAAGATAATTGTGAAAGATAAGAATCTGTGAAAGGTAGTTATGAAAGGGAGAATTTAATGCAAAAGATTGTGAGACAGGTGTGAAAAGGAGAAGGATGTTGCTAGTAAATGGTATTTTTAATTAGAGAATCAAGCTCGTTGTACTTGGTCAAGGTATGTGTCCGTTTTTTAAAGTGGCTTCTAATGATAACTACTTATTAAACAGTTTGCCCAAGATTGATTCCCTACCATTTCAGTTCCTGAAATGATAGCTTGGTGTGAGCGATATGCAACATATTTTAAAAATTACAGAAACAACAGGATAAAATGGTCTCTGATGGAACTGAGAGGTCTTGGATATGAACTGAACACCATAAAGGTATTCCCGGCCTTAACTTTGACATATGGCCCAATTGTCTTGTTTGCTTTCTTACACAGCAAACAAGACAATTAGGTCTATATAAAAGCTATTCTGAGTCAATGGCATGATGAGCTGCATTAAAAAGAAATAACTTTGTGAAAATGGAAACATTTTTTGAAATTAATAATTTAAAAAACTTTCTGATTCAGACTGTATGAACCCACAAAAAGACTTGGATAATTACGAATCAGACAAAATGAAAATATAGGGAAAAGCCAGATTAGTCAAATATCACCATTTTCTCACCATTTTCTAGTAACGCTTTCCTGTAATGATAATGAATTTACTATTTACTGAGTGTATTTTATTACTCCCTATAGAATGAGTTTACTTAGATAGGTGGGGATCACTGCTGCATGACACATGGATCTTTGAACAGCATTCAGCTTGAAGATTTTATTCTTAAAAATGATACAAAGATTTCAGATAATAGTTAACAACTCGTTGTAATGACTTATAATTTATTTAAGAATTTATAATGTCCTTAAGAGCATTTATTTTTATTGAAGTGTGACAGATGTGTACACGGATGTATTTGTAAGGCACACATTTGCAAAATGATTGCATCTTGTAAAGGTTTTCTATATTTTAACTAAGTGGCATGGTCAGTCCTGAGTGTACAAGTGGTTCGTGTTACTCTCAGGACAATCATTCTGTGCCTGAGTGGCAGGGGCTTTGGGTGGCTGTGTGGTTGGCTTGGTCAGTGCTGGTCTGCAGAAATGCTCGCTGTGAGGGCTGCCACACAACAAAGATGCAAAAAGGAAAAAAATTCGGCATGAGGTGCCAGCGTCTCTAGATACCATTTAATTTGAAAAGTATTACTGGATTCCAAGTTATAAATGAGATTAAAATCCAAAATAGCGCCGTGGCCCAGTTCGTACCCTGGCGTGTTCAGGGGCCATTCGTGCGCATGAGGCTGAGTGTGCCGAGCTGTCCAGCCCGGGCCCGGCTGCCCTCCCGGTCTCCGCCCGTGCACCGACGCCTGGCGGGGCTGTTCCCCGCCAGCAGGGCCTCGGGGGCGAGCGGCGGGATGTGCTCCCGCCCCGGGGCGTGTCACGTGCGGCAGCAGGAATGCGGCGGGCTCCGGGGACACGAGGTGCCCGCCCCGCCCTGGCCCGGCCCGCCCGGCCGGCGGGGCCAACTGGAATCCAACCGGGCCTCGCGGGGGCGGGCGCCGGGGCCCCGGCGGAGCGGGCCGTGCCGGGCGGCGGCCGCCTCGGAGCGTTTGGCGGCGGCTCCGGCCGCGGCGGAGGAGGTGGGTGTTCGCTTCGCGCCGGGGTCGTGCTCCGGTGTTGTCACGGAAAGTTTGGTCCTCGGAGGGTGGGCTCGATGCTTGGTGCGGAGACGCCCTTCGGGGGCGAGGGCTGCCTCGCTGGGGCTGCGGGGGCCCGGGGCGGCAGCCGCTGGACACCGCCGCGGGGCAGGAGGGCAGACGCGGGCTGTGAGATTGTCATTAAATGTGGTTTGCCCGTGCGAGGTGGGTCACTGAAACGGGGATGCGAGGGGTCCGTAAAACGCCTTGGCCAAACTTCTCGCTGCTGGACTGCGGTGAAGTTTCTTCCGCGAGGTTTTCGCGGGGGGTCTCTCGCGTGTGCGCTGCTTCGTGTTCCGCGGTGTGGGGAGCCGCCGGCTCCAGCGACCCTCCGCTCTCCATCAGCTACGGACACGGTTGTGGAAAATAAAACTCCCGTGGGAGCTGGAGTGCCTTTCCTTCCCCGTTCTTCAACGCTGGTGTCGACCAGTTTTTTAGTTGGCATCTGAAATTAAATTAGTTATCTTGACAGAGGGGAAAAATGCTTATTCGCAATTACGCTGTCATTTTATGTATTTTTTAATTCGGTTTCTTTGTAATTAACCGTGCAACTACTGAAGAAGTTACATAGTTGTTTGTGGTGATCCCAGACTATGTAGTTGCTTTTGCAAGATGCCCTGCATTTACCGGGTAAAGTAAGAAGAGCTTTAAAAGATTGCCCAGTCATGCACTGGAGGGGTGAGTGAGCAGGCTGTGTCAGTACCAAGTGCTTGCAAAGGCAGCTGCTAATAATTTGACCACAGCAAAGGCGTATTTTAAAGATTTTTAGGCGTTGCTTGTATTTGTGGCCAAAACAATTTTATCCATCCTAAATTCTGCCATCTTTCATTTACATATTTCTTCAATTCTTCAATCATTCTTTCTTTTTTTTTCCCCCTTTCTTTGCCAAAGATCCTAACATCATGGCTTTTACCTTGAGCTAGCAGGTTTTAAGTTGTTTAATTGAAATGTAAAAAGCATCTTTTTGTTTCAGTCTTGCAGTTTAACTGTTAGCATAAAAAGGTGTAGGATTGGGGTCTTTTTTTCATGAGTCAGGAAATAAAAGTTATTGCTTAAAAACTGTTTCATGCTAAATAAATACAGTGAGATTCTACCAACACGTGTTAGTTTGTGGCTACTTTTATTATAAATAAAATATTTTTTTCGTAAAGCTTTCAGTCTGCTTGGTGAACCCCAGTGAGAAATCTGTTCTGTAGCAGAAATGAAGTATAACATTTTTAAAATTTTCTGTTGGCACTCAGGAGACACAGGTTTGTTGCCTGAATGTGGGGACATGTTTGGTGCCTACAACTTCAAGCCCATTATTCAGGCAGAGGTTCTGGCTGTTCAGCTGCTTTCTTCAATGCACCCTTCATTCTTTTCACTTGGGTGATCTGTTTGATCTTGATAATCTGTCTGACTTGCTTTGTTTAATCCATCTTGTCTTTTTTTTTTTTCTCCTTCTCACCCTCAGGCTTAGTATTCCATGAACTAGTTACATGTGTTTATCTGGTTATGAACAGTAGTTCTTTAGGTACTACCTTGAAATCTGATATTTCTGGAAGCTTTACAGTGAGACTTCAAGATTTTTATAATATATTCCATGGATTCCTTAGATTACCTGTGGCATTGTACATGAGATGTGACACTGTGTGAGTGGTGGCAGGTGTCTTGTGATGGTACTGGGTTTCCAGTGTGTGGGGCTTGTGAGGCTGATACCCACAGATGGATGTGGTAGGAGAAGGGACCATGGAAGCAGACTGACACTTGAGCAGTGGGCTGTCCATCATCTCCTGCTGAATGCCAGGACCTGGCAGCATCCTGTGGGTTGGCCATCAGGAGTTGCTATGCCACAGGATTTGGAGAGGAGCCCCAGTGCTGTGTGAGAGACAAGTGTACAAATCTTGTGCTATGAGCACACTCAGGTACTGACAAGGGGCTTGCCTCCTTCCCTGCATGCTGAGGAGCTCTCAGTGACCCTGAGCTGTGCTAATGCTTAGCAGATAGGCTATGATTTCACTCATCAGTGGACAGCAAAAATCCTTTCCCATACTGGAATACTTCAAACAAACTTCATCTTGCCAGGCTGGGCTGGATGGGACTCTGAGCAACCTGGTCTCATGGAAAATGTCCTTGCCACATGCAGGGCAAGGAGGTTGGAACCTGGATGATTTTTAGGGTCCCTTCCAACCCAAAACATCCTATAATTCCGTGAAGAAATCTCAACAACAGAGGAGTTCTTCAGTTGATTCTGAGCTCTTTAGGAATCACTGCATAGTTTACACATTTGAAGGAAGACAACAAACCTGAAAGGCTATTGTTAAACTTCATAATTGTTAACGGAATTTAATGCAATGGGGAATAGTACATTGCTTATTTGTAAAACAGGAAGTCTATTAACTGCTTCTATATGAATTAGAAATTATTTTTAGCATCTGTTGTAGAAAATTTATAAACTTCAGTCTATTTCTGAAGCAGTCAGGAAGCAAAAGCTGCAGTCCAGAAGGAGGAGGACCAGTTTTGATTCAGACTTTCAGAATGAGCTTTATATGTTGTGCAAAGCTGCAGTCAGTTTATTTGTGCATCTGTTCTCAACTTTGTAAATGATGGAGAAATGAGCTATGTGAGGTACTTATTTTCTTTAATTTACATATTAAAGGTGGGAGGGCAGTATATGGGACAATAATTTTGTTTCTGCTTTTGTACAGTGACTTCTATTTCACTTTTTTCTTTATATATTTCCATTTTACAGTTTTACTTCAGAATGTTGGAAGGGAACCCGTGGAGTTGTTGTATGGTCTCTAAAAGATATTTTTTAAACTACCTTTCTGTAAGTTCAGCTTCCTGATGGTTTTTTGAGCTGTAAGCGCTTTTCTGGACTATCCTTGGATGCTTCTTGTAGAATATCTATTGTGGCACTTGTACCTTAGAGAAACTTCCTTTGGAGTGTTCAACACTGTGAATGCAATTGTTCTTAATTTTTTAACATTTTGTATGTTAAAATGAAATGATAAATGAGGTTTCATTGGTAGTGGTATGAATTAGTCTTTCTTTTTTTGTGTATTTGACAACATGTGAGGGAGGCATTTTTCATATCTAAGATCATATTTTGTTAAAATTGGCATTTATTACTGATACTTTTCCCTCACTCCCATTCCTTTTAATACAATGTCATTCTTGTTATTACATCTGTTAGTGGAAGATTAATATTGGTAAATTAATTTCTGAATCTAGAAGTAGTTTAGTGAGTAGAAAAGCTGTAAGCCTGGATGCTTGGAAATTTTCAGAGATTGATTCATAAACTGAAGCCTGAGAATTACTTAGGGGAGACTTTGGGAGTATCATGAGGAAGAGAATCTCTTCATTAGAGGGAGGTGGGAGGTGCATGAGCAAGGTAAGCCAGAATTCTCGTTGTGGACCTATACAACTGTGTCTTAGTGTTATTTTTGTTTGCAAATCTTTCTCAGTAATGCCACTGTACATGTGTGTGGTTTGCAGAGCAGAATATCATGACTCAAGTTGTGTCACATATCCATGGAAGAAAATGCTGCATTATTATTAGCATCTTTTGAGATTTTCATCTGTTGGACATTTTCTTGTTGTAAAGAAACTTGAGTTTTGCTTGCACCAAAATAATGCGGGTTATTTAGAAACCAGGAATATGTAAAAGTAGACCTTGTTTTGAAGGGAGTGATGACAAGTAATGGTAAACAAGAGTTGAAAAATATGTTTTCAAACTTGTGTTTTTAGATCAAAAACTTGATTCATGTTTATTCTGAAATGCCTGAATCAGCAAGACTGTGGGAAGTGATGCATAATTGCACAACATTGATTATGTCCTGCATGTTCACTGCTCAGTCAGGAAGCCTGAAGCTTAATGTCAAATGCGTGGGTGAAGCAGTTAAGCAGAGCAAAATAAATTGTTCTACTTATGTGCTGCTGAATAGGGGCATTATCTTGGGAAAATCTGTTTCAGTGACTTACTGTACTGTACAATACTTGTTACTTGGGACTGAACCATGAATGTGAACTGTGAGGATCCAAGCTCAAGGTCAAACATTCACTCTTGTTTCTCTTCTGTAATCCCTTGTTTCTCGAAATGCATTAAAAAAATGCAGAAACTGTATGAATATTTTTTTCCTTAGAGATACAGACTGCATCTCAAAAACTTGCAAGAAAGAGGGTAAACGTTATTTCCTCATCTGTAAAATGGGCTAATAACATACTGAGAAGTGGATGGCAATATTTAGATTTCCTGGTAGGATCACAGTGAGTCTTGAGCTTATGTCTCTTATTTTTATATTTTTCACTTTTCTAAAGCGTTCCCAGTCTCATCCTCAGTGTCCTTTTAGAATTTCATGCTTAATATTCAGTATTGTTGCAAACCATGGATTGACTAATTTGAGTTTTAAAAACTTCACTTTCAGATTGTAGGAGATTGAGAGGAAAGATGTCTACTAGATAATTTTCAAATCAAGGAAAGAGTGAAGACTGCTGATGTTTGGACTACATGCAGAACTTACACTTCTGTGGGAATCTAGCTTTCATTATACATTTTTTGATGACAAGGGCTGTTCTTTGCAGGTGCTATTACTATTTTTCTTTCTTCCTATAATTAATGATTTAACAGCTGCATTACCTGATTTCTGATTTATTTGAATAAAATTTTGGTGTTAGAAAATGAATGAAAATAGTTTTTTTTCTAGAGCATACATTTTAACTTTGTTATTGGAAATGTATTTCCATATTTTACTCCACATATTTTTGAAACTTAGTAATAATACTCTATTAAAATTCTTAATAACTTTATTCATCAGATGAAACACATTTGTTCAACTGGATGATTTTCTAATAATCAGATAGAATGAGTTGTCCTTGATGAGAAACAGCATGGTTACTTTCCCAAGGGCAGTAGTACCCAAAGAGCTGAAAATGTTTAGGTAAAGTGTCTCTATCAGGACTGG